GGCACCAGCATCTCCCTTGTCTCCAATCTGCACCCAGTGGGAGTTGTTGGGAAACAAGCTGTCATTTGTAAACAGACGCCAGACTTCTGTGTTTACAAGTGATAGTGGTGGGCAAGGAGCAGAGGGCCGAAGCCAGAGGTGGTGGAACTGAGTTCCTCCTAGTACTAGCAGAAAACAAGCCCTGTTAATATTTACCTGAATAGTTGAGAACTTTGGCATAGTGAGCAGAGGACCAGGGTAGATTAAATGGAGCTAAGGAGGTGTTGGGGAAAGGGGAAGGGTATATGGGAGGTCAGAATGGTAAGGGAATAGAGAATGGTGATGGTAAAGGAATAGCGAATACAGGGGAAATAATGATTCAAAATTGGTGCAAGTGCGAGACATATTCTCACTTAATGTTCATATGTAGCTAATTTTTTTGTTTAAGTTTTGGATAGAGTAGGAAAGGGTTAAAACTCCTATGAGGTTTTTTTTTTTTTTAAGTTTGTGGAAATTTCACTTCACTTCCTGTCCCAGAGATGCAACAGGACAGATGTCCGTGGGGCAGGCATCTCATTGGAAGATTTTTCCTTAACTTTTGTTTTGGTGACTGCTCTAAATTTTTGGATTTTACCTCACTTTCTGTTTTAATGGCAGCAATCATCCTAACACCAGAGTAGTGAATGTAATCTTCAAATATATCATGCTTCACTGGGGCCAGGCTTGCAAGCTTTGTATATACTGTATATATCTAAAGGCCAAAATAAACATGGAAAAATATAAGAAGAAACAAATCTTTCATCCACATCTTGAGTATGCCATTCAGTTTTGGTTTCCAGTCCTCAGGAAGGATGTACTGGAACTGCAATGTCCAGAGATGGGCAACAAATCTAATAGGGGGGGCTGGAGGACTGACTATGAAGAATGACTACAAAAATAAAAATGTATTTTCCAATGGAGTAGAGGCTCTTAAGAGCTGATATATTCACAATATACAATCTTTCAATGTGGACTGTTTCATTGTGAGAAAACAATTTATTTTAGGTCTCTAAAGAAGGCCACACAAAAAAGTTGGATGAAAAGCCATTCACTTTTAAACTGGGTAAAGGGTTCTAGAATGTAACAAAAACATTTCACACCACAGACCTGCCACATTTCCTATTTTACATGTTATTTTAAATCTGCAGCTTTCCTTTAATATAATATTTGGTGATCTTGCCATGAAGGTCCATTTTAGGACTTTCTATGTGGGCTCCTGTGTTTTTGCACTGTCATATGCACCTCTGCTTGAGACTACAGACAGCCATGCTGACACATATTGCACAGGCATGGTTATCAATATTGGTAAACCGGTAAACCGTTCCAGAGTAGTGATGTATAGCATGCTCTGGAGTGCATGCTTATAGATAGGAAGTGGCTGCAATGTGTCTTCAGGATATCATCAGAAATGAGATGCATGAAAGGATGGGAAAATTTGAAAATAGAACTCAAGGAAAAAACCCATAGCTATTGTTTTTTTTATACTGAGTACTTTAGCCAACTAGATGTCATCCAGTTAGGGTTTAGATCCCTGGTGCCCAACCTGTGGCCCTTTGGTATATGATCTTTGGCCCTCAGACATCAGCAGTTTGTAGTGGGAACATTGATTAGGGCAATAGAATTGATCTCTACTAGCCTCACGTAACATGTTTCCAGTTACATTTTGTCTTCTGCAGCATATCCCCATCCAAAAAATGTAGCATGTCCACGCTCTCTGACCATCATTTCCTCTGTTAGGTCTACAGTTTCTGACAATCCTCTCAAGCATTATATATATTGAACATTATGTGTGGCTGTTAGGTGATGTCAGGGGCCTCATTTGAGGCCCCCTTTAGCTCTTAAGTTGTCAACCACCGGTTTAGATCTTAAATTTAGTAAACATTTAACAAAAAATCAGCACAAGGGACTGTACATACAATCAGTGTGAAGTGTTCCTGGTTGTGATTTTAGTTAAAATCCTCTGTCCTCTGATCCCCCCATGCCCACAGCTTCTGGTGCTGCAGGGGTTAATATGAAATGAGGGACCTGTTATATGCACTGGTCAAGAGCACTGACTATGCTCCCCTCCTCCTTTATTCATAGAAGCTGTGCTATATCTTCTATCAATGAAATGTGCTCTATGAATGGAGGAGGGGGCTGAAAGAGCAGTTATAGTCAGCACTCTTGACAAGTGCATATGACAGGTCCCTCAACTTGTATTGACCCCTGTGGCACCAGGGTAGGTGGGTAAGGGGGCAGAGGATTTCAAATAGAACTGTAGCCATCAGCACAAGGGACAAGCCACAATAATTACAAGTATAATCCCTTGTGAAGATAATTTTTTTTAAACTAAACTTAGGCTTTAATGAAGCAGCAGTTTTACTTTTTTTTTAATATCTTCCCATATATCATGTCGGCTTACAGAAGCATTCCTAAAGTGTCAACATGATACATTACCCCATAGTGTCAATGAACAAGCATGTGACTATGCACAATGGATGTTAAGTACAACAGACTAAACAAGCTCCTTTTATTCTTTGCAGTTTTTTCTTTTTTACATCCGATTGTATTGCTTAGAACTATAAATAGGTGAAAGTGCAATGCAGCATATCCATTTAAGCATTACCTTTTCAGCAATGATACATCTTTCCAGTGAAACACTGAGGCTTTCACAAATTGAACTGATATTCCACATGGACACTAGGAGGAGCTCTTGACTTGGCCATGGTGGCAGGCTTGCTTTGTTTTACATATATTGGTTCAGTGTTATACCCACTGAGGACAATCTCATATCAAAGTGTAATTATTTTTGAGGAAGGGTTTTTATCAAATCAGTCTATGGGGAGTAGCAGTCTGTAAACACACATTAAACTGTACTTTTCCTGGACATATAATTTATATTTTTAATGAAAAAATATTGTAAAAAATGAAAGTACACAGGATATTTGCTCCGACATTATTGTTACACCGCTTTATTAGAAAATTAAGTATTTCTCTCTAACCAATACAAGTCACAATTCAGGTTTATTTTTCCTTTAGTGTGTTGTCACTATGAATACACTAATCATATTAATGGAGAAAGCATTCAATGGCCTGTTCATTGGTGAAAGATGATGAAATGCACTAATAGGTCCATTTATATCTTGCACTGAAGATTTCACCAAAGATTTTATGCAGCCGAGTCTAGAGCAGGCATTCCTAACCAAGAGTTCCTTAGTCACATTAAAATTTCATGTTTCTGAGATGTTGTTTGCAGCAACTTCTTTGTAACAGATAAAGCCAAAATTTTATTTCTGTTTTATGTTTAAAATAGAATTAAAGGCAAAACATTTGGATAGAGTTCCATTGGGGACATTTCCCTTCACTTCCTGTCCCATTGCCAAAACAGGAAGTAAGTGGGAAGACCTCCAAAGGGGGTAAATTCCTGGCTGGCACTATGGTCAATCAGAACTAGTGTCCCCATTAGAAGGTTTCCCCTCAATTATTGTTCTGTGGACCTAAAATATGGGATTTTCTTTTACTTTTCCTTGATGATAATGGTAAACAGGACAAATAGAGAGGGTGAATCTCCCTAACAGGTGTTCTAATCCCTCTCTACTCCATCCAAAACTAAAGAAAAAATTTCTTTAGTTATGCTTTAATCTCTTTTTGTTGGAACTTACAAGTTCAGACGATTACAATATAGCCAAATATGTAGAAATCATTGCCCAAATCAATAAAGAAATACAAACATCGAATCTTCTGCATACAGCTTCCATTTTATAGAACAAGAACAGTATTGGAACAAAATATTTAATGGACGACAATGAAGTATATACAGTACAGTATGAATGAAAATCAAGAAATAACACTACTAAAAAGAAGATAATTAATGTTTTAGATTGAGTAGAGAATTCCTAGCAACCCTTGTCTGTTTTTTTACTGCTGTTTTGTTTGTATCCTTGCTGGGGAGAGTCACCCCCTCTGTTTGTCCTGGTGACTACTGTCACAAGTTCTGAAATCAAGAAAAATCCGAAATTGCAAGTTGGCATTGATGAGGATTACAGAGGAATTCATTAAGTAGGGACACTTGTTGCATTAACAATTAAAGTATGATTTCACTCACTTTGGAGAGATTTTCTCTACAAAACTCTGGTTCAGCCTCCTTGAATATGTCATCCAGTTCTGATCACTTGTCTTCAGGAAAGATGTGCTTAAACTGGAGAAAGTCCAGAGAAGGGCAACAAAGCTAATAAGGGGACTGGAGGAACTCCGTTATGAGGGACGGCTACACATAAACTTATCCTCCCTGGAGAAGAGATGCTTAAGAGGGCATAGGATCTACAATTATACAAAGGGTGATTGTAGCATTGGGAAGAAATGATGTAGCCTTCCTAGCGGTCTGATTATGTTCATATTTCTGTGCTCAAAGCGGTACGTTTTTTGCATGGAAATATGTATTTTTTTTTTATTGTAGGCCTGTAATTTTTAGGAATAACTCACTGAAATCTGTCCGAACAAGAGTCTAGTAAACATCCCGGGTATGTTAAAATTTGAAACATGAAATCATAAATTATAATTTAATATATAATCATAAAACATAATAATATAATAATAATACATTTAATCCAATAATATAATCAAACCAAAAACACTGAAATTTAAAATATAGCACCAAGTTCGCACATCACTGAGCAAAATCGCAGAATCGTTTTCAGTGTCTGATGACGAATTTCCCCACGAATCATTATCACTCAATTCTGCAAGTGGTTCTGATTTACTATCGCTGTTCTGTAGCTGGTCTAAAACCACTTTTGACCTAAAGGGACGCTTTTTGGACGCCATGGACATTTCTCAGTTTCTAGGCAGAAATAACAGTAAAAATGCAGGCAGGGCACAGGACAAAGCACTAGGGACAAAATGTATGTGAAATGGTTTGATACAGTAATGCTTTACTATGTGATTTTAGTGAATTTAGTGATTGTCACTTTTACAACTTTCAAACCTGGAAGACAGATGCCGGCATCCACCGGAGGACATTGCAGGGGACACTGCAGGAGGGACATCGCAGAAGTGCAAGACAAGGTAAGTGAAGAAGAGATCCCGGAGCAACGCTGCAGGGTATTCCCGAGCAGGGGCGGACTGACAACTCATGGGGCCCCCGGGCAATAGGGGATCATGGGGCCACTGTGTCCTTGCCCAAACTCAAAAAAGCCTATGAAAAAGGTACCAGGGGCATCTCATGGGGCCCTCTACTGTCCCCGGGCCCTCGGGCAGTGCCCGAGTTTCCAAATGGTCAGTCCACCCCTGTTCCCAAGTGTAGCTCAGGGTTACCGCTTGTGGTGCTGAAACTTTATCCCGAGCTACACTCGGGATTACCTCCAGGGAGGTTAACCTAAAGTCTCTAAAGAAGACACATTACCACTTACTGGGTTCTTTACTGTTAGAGTAGTGGAACGCCCTACCACAGTTGGTGGTGTCAGAGGAGAGTGTAGATACCTTAAAAACACTTTTAGATGTTTTTTTTAGTAAGTATAAAGTACACAGATATGGAAAAATAGTAGTCACACACACATTTAGGTTGAACTGGATAGACCAGAGTTTTTATTCCAGCTTACCAACTATGTAACTATGTAATTTGCTAACTGGAAGGAAGCAGAATACTGTAGTTACTCATCTAGATACCTGTTCACAGAGACAAAATACTGTTCTGACACAACTGAAAATATGTCCAAAGGAACTGAATACTGTACTGACAACACCACAGAAACATGGCCACAGAGAATGAATACAGTACTGACACAACTGGAAACATGACCACAGAGAATGAATACAGTACTGACACAACCGGAAACATGGCCACAGAGACTGAATACAGTACTGGCACAACCAGAAACATGGCCACAGAGACTGAATACTGTACAAACACAACAGAAAACATGGCCACAGAAAATACATGGCCACAACCGGAAACATGGCCACAGAAATGAATACAGTACTGACACAACCGGAAACATGGCCACAGAGGTTGAATACAGTACTGGCACAACCAGAAACATGACCACAGAGACTGAATACTGTACAAACACAACCGAAAACATGGCCACAGAGACTGAATACAGTACTGACACAACCGGAAACATGACCACAGAGAATGAATACAGTACTGACACAACCGGAAACATGGCCACAGAGGATGAATACAGTACTGACACAACCGGAAACATGACCACAGATACTGAATACTGTACAGAAACAACCAGAAACATGACCACAGAGACTGAATACTGTACTGACACAAATGGAAACATGACCACAGAGACTGAATACAGTACTGACACAACCGGAAACATGACCACAGAGACTGAATACAGTACTGACACAACCGGAAAGATGACAACAGAGACTGAATACAGTACTGACACAACCGGAAACATGACCACAGAGACTGAATACAGTACTGACACAACCGGAAACATGACCACAGAGACTGAATACAGTACTGACACAACCGGAAACATGACCACAGAGACTGAATACAGTACTGACACAACCGGAAACATGACCACAGAGACTGAATACAGTACTGACACAACCGGAAAGATGACCACAGAGACTGAATACAGTACTGAAACAACCGGAAACATGACCACAGAGACTGAATACAGTACTGACACAACCGGAAATATGACCACAGAGACTGAGTACTGTACTGATACAACTGGAAACATGACAACAGAGACTGAATACAGTACTGACACAACCGGACACAATGGCCACAGATACTGAATACAGTACTGACACAACCGGAAACATGGCCACAGAGACTGAATACTGTACTGACACAACCGGAAATATGACCACAGAGACTGAGTACTGTACTGATACAACTGGAAACATGACCACAGAGACTGAATACTGTACTGACACAAATGGAAACATGACCACAGAGACTGAATACACTACTGACACAACTGGAAACCTTACCACAGAGACTGAATACAGTACTGACACAACTGGAAACATGACCACAGAGACTGAATACACTACTGACACAACTGGAAACCTTACCACAGAGACTGAATACAGTACTGACACAACTGGAAACATGACCACAGAGACTGAATACAGTACTGACACAACCGGAAACATGGCCACAGAGACTGAATACTGTACTGACACAACCGGAAACATGGCCACAGAGACTGAATACTGTACTGACACAACTGGAAACATGACCACAGAGACTGAATACTGTACTGACACAACCGGAAACATGGCCACAGAGACTGAATACAGTACTGACACAACTGGAAACATGTCCACTGAGAGAATATTGTACTGACACAACCAGAAACATGTCCACTGAGACAGAATAACGTACTGATACAACAAGAAATGTGACAGACACAGATTGCTGTACTGACACAACCTGAAACGTGACCATAGAGACAGAATACTGTGCTAACACAACTGGAAATATGTCCACAGAGACCAACTATTGTACTGATACAACCAGAAATGTGACCACAGACACAGAATACTGTACTGACACAACCTGAAACAATGACCACAGAGACAGAATACTGTACTGACACAACCTGAAACAATGACCACAGAGACAGAATACTGTACTGACACAACCTGAAACAATGACCACAGAGACAGAATACTGTACTGATACAATCAGAAATGTGGCCACAAAGAATTATTATTGTATTGACACAACCAGAAATATGTCCACAGAGACAGAATACTATATTGACTCAACCAGAAATATGACCACAGAGACAGAATACTGTACTGACACAACCAGAAATGTGGCCACAGAGAATGATTATTGTACTGACACAACCAGAAATATGTCCACAGAGACAGACTACTGTACTGATACACCCGGAAACATCACCACAGAGATGGAAATACATCCAGAGACAGAATACTTTTTATCCAACCTTACCAATGTCATTCTCCAACTGAGGTAACTGGAAGGGTATGTGGAAGTAGAATATTGTACTGCCTCATCTAGTTACCTGTTCAGAGACAGAATTCTGTATTGACAAAACTAGAAATGTTGTCTGCAGAGACAGAACACGGTAATGAAACAGCTGGAGGCATGACCACAGAGACAGATTACTGTACTGACACAAATAAAAATATGTCTGTAGTCTGCAGGATCAGAATATTGTACTGACACACATTTGCAAAACCAAAATATTGTACTGACCCAACTATAAATATATCAGCAGAAAAACCAAGACAACAAGACAACATAAGAAACACATCCATAGAGACAGAAGGCTGTACTGACCCAACCAAATACACCTCTGCAGAGACAGAAAAGGTTCCAAACTAATGGAAGGTTAGAAGAGAGCAGGGAAGTTTTCACATTTTTCTGGAGTTTATCAGAAAAGCGTTTAGGCGTAACAATTTTCTTTTTAAAAATACAAGATTTAATACATAAATATATGTATGCAACAATCTGTGTTCCACCTATGCTGCATAGGTGCCACATGGATTGTTGAATGCATATATTTAAAATTGTCTTTTTTTTAGAACCATTTTGCAGACAACTTAACCACATATTTCTGCTAGGTATAACAGTGAATGAACAACTATTTAAACACATGTTTTCTGCTCACTCATAGGGACCCTATAAATAAGGTGGATTCCAGGTGGAAGTGAAACATGATAGAGCTTTGAACCTTTATGGTGGTGTAATTAAGCTTTGAATTATTTAATAAATAATTTTCCTGGTATTTACTATGGTGACCGGCTCCCTTGCTTTGTTTTGCACTGATATGCAATGCATTTATAGCAGCTGCCAACTGCAGGGAGCCTGCATCCTTGTTTGGAGGAATACAGGGGCACTGCGCCTGCAGCAGAATACAGTACGTAAGTTTTCAACACATTGGGGGAGATTTACTAAAACTGTATTGTGCAAAAAAATCTGGTTCATCTGAGAAACCAATCAAATTCTAGGTTTTATTGCTAAAGCCTAAGTGAACAATATGAAGTTAGAAGCTGATTGGCTACCATGCACAGATGCACTAGATTCTGAGTGCTCCCATTTTAGTAAACCCCTCCTTCCCCCATTGTGTAAGATGAGAATTCCCCATACTGTTTAGGGCACGGGTGTCAAACTGGTGGCCCTCCAGCTGTTGTCAAACTACAAGTCCCATGAGGCATTGCAAGATTGACAGTTACTAGCATGAATCCCAAAGGCAGAGGAATGATGGGACTTGTAGTTTCGCAACAGCTAGAGGGCCGCCAGTTTGACACCCCTGGTTTAAGGTTTTCCTCTCACTTCCTGTTGTGTCTCCAGGACAAAAAGTGCAGCAAACAATAGCTATACAAAAACTTTACCTCTGCTAAGTTATACTAGAAAGTGGAGTTATCTATTAACATTAGTGATGTAAAGGGCAACTCTGTTTCTTCCTCTTGGCCACCAGTGGTCCAAAGGCATTTGAAAAATGAAGAATATTTCGAGGAATGTAAGTTAACATTTTGTCAGATACAGACATTTGGCAAATAATTCCTTTCTGGTAAGTGGATTGTGAAGTCTTAAATCCTGATGGACAGGACATTTAAAGACATTCAGTTTCTGGATTACCTCTGTCACACAAGTTGTTGACAGATCAGAAATACGCTATCTGTCTGAGTTTATTACTTATCTAGTAACTAATAAAAGACTTCACTAGTAGGTATTAGCTTCTTTGATGCGTTAATATGGTGCTGAAAAAAATCAATTCCAGTTTATAGAATATGGTATATTAAATCAATCATACATCATCAATTGCAGATCAGTTTAGTAAAAATATGCTAGAAAAATTGTTTCTGCATTCAGACGTGTCAGATTTTTCGAGGTTTGTGCTTAGAGTGGTGATATAGCAAGAAAAACCTTAGACATCTTCCCTGCAGGGTTCCATACATTATTAGGCAGAGAAACAAAAGCAAGCTGCTGGATTCTTTCTTTTTATTTTTTATGAAACATGTCCAGAAAAAAAATGGATTTATTTATTTATAAATATATTGATATCTTTTCTAGGAATCTTAACATGAAATGGTTTCATTAAAATTAACCTTTTATACAAATATAATTCTCAGTTAACTGAAAGCATCATACAAAGCTGGGAATTTAGTTTTGCACATAGACTAATATTGTAGAGAGCTTTACATGTAATTCTACAGCATTTGTCTGTAGCTATGCCGCACTGAAGCACCCTGCCAAATCTTTCTTTTCATTTTACCCCCATGCTGCTTTGACTTACTGCTGCAGTATCTCACTCACGAATGAACTAAATGCAAAATCCACCAACACAAGCATGAAAAGAAACTAGAACTG